TATTTCTTATAGCTTATCTAATTTGTTCATCAACGTAATTATGGAAGTCATTATTAATGAGGTTTTGTTTAATATGATTTTAATTCAGTGTAGAAAATCTTTTTTGTTGAAGAATTTGATTTAGCACGGTTTATTAAGTTTCGTCTAATAGCTATTTTGTAAAAGGACATTCACTTTTGTAATTGACAATACATGTGATTATACTAGTTGGTTGGAAATCTAGAAACGTTGTATGCTAGCAATTTAGAACGTTGCATAAGCAATAAAAAACGAGCAGTTGATATGTTTCAAATTTACAGAAACCCATAGACATACTCACAGACAACTTAACCCACTGAAGATGGTCTCAGATGATATTGAAACTACTTGGGAAAATAAAAACTATTCGAAAGAAAATTTTAATATATTTCTTACTTAGTTTTCTAAATCTACCAAAAAATTAATCCACGATATAATGATCACGCCTAAAGTTGCATAATAAAATTTTATATTACCGAATAAACCAAATAAATAATTTAAAATATTTCTAATATAAACAGAAATTATCAGCTGAAATTCTTGTGGTATATTTATCATACAAATTTAAATATATTCCGAACATGTTATCAAAATCTGTTCGATAAAAATGTTTTATTAATTTATTTTATTAATGTGCAAGCAACTATATAAGTACATACAAACACGCACACAAATGCACCTACATATATATGTAGATGTGTGTGATTATGAGTTTCTGTGTATAACAACATAGACCTTTACATATATCTGAATATATGGATGAGAACGTGATAATAAAATTTCGGTTCGACCCTCTTCCCAAATTCTCAAAAAAGGACAAAAAAAAAGAAAAGAAATAATAGTACTTCCAGTATAGACTCTTTCCTTTTTGAATGGATTCCTTCTGGAAAGTTTGATTCCCCACAAAACGTATCAGCGAAATATGAAATGTCAGGCTTTGTTCACACTTGAGTGTACTGCAGTTATAGCGCATCGAAAGCACGGCTACTATATTTATGTCGAGAAACGTTGTAGCAGAAGCCTTTCCTCATTCAGAAGTACCCATCATCAGTGAAAGAGAATCATGAAAAATGCAAAAAGTGCCCCCATACGCACGTTATCCAAGTTGTAAAATAATTGATTCCCACGAATTCTCAAAAATCACAAGCAAATTTTTCAATAGAGGCCAACTATTATAAATGGGCCTGAGGTTATCTCATCCTCGTCAGATAAGACTAAGTTCGTTGAACATTAAACGACAAGGGTGATCCCCTACCTGAATTCCACACTCTCACGGAGTACAAACTCGATCTCAGCCCTGGAAGATTCCAGATTAATTGAAAGCGTGGACTCTACGAAGGTACTCGGTCCGGATACATTTCCAGTAATCATTCTTAAGACCCCTTGCCAGATGTTCTTAGCAAAGTTCTTTAAACTCCTAAAGGATAAACGTTTCCTTGGTTCTATGGAAGATGTCATCTGTACTTGCCATTTTTAAAAATCCAGGTGTGCCCCCATCTCCATTATATTATCGCCTCATCACCTTCGTGCCATCAGAAAACTTTCCGAGTCTATTATCAACAAGAAAGTTGATCAACCCAACAGAAACAACCTCCTGTGATTTAATTTCTTTCCTATAGGTCCTATACTGATGTCTTAACTCTCATTATACATATAATCCGTGTAGCCCTCGATAATAAATTCATCACGAGAGTAATTGTTTAGATATCTCAAAGGTCTTTAACAAGGTGTGACATTGGGGGTTATTATACAAACTCACCGGCCAAGGAATTCCTGGAAGACTCTTCTCACTTATCATGTTCTTCTTACCAGGTTGATCCATGAAGGTCGTTATTACTGGTCAGTCCTATGAAACCCAAGAGGTCAATGAATGAATGGTTGTACCCTCAATTAGCCTCCTTGCCAAGAATGTCTCTTGGGACTCAAGCTACTTTAGACTTCAGGTAGAACATATATATATATATATACGATCCATCTCTAAAGAGGCTAGAAAAAGATGGGGTTTTGGACCGTTCCAGAAAGTACCAGTATGTTCTGTCTTTTTGTGTCGTTTTGAAGGTGTTTTTATATTTATTGGTTTTTACTGAGGCCAATTTAGCAGGTAGAGGAACATTTGTTTTTCTTAAAGGTAGCGGAAAACTAGGCAGAAGGAGTCAGATGAGCCATGCCCAATGACACATTGATTGTTTCTTTTCTTAAGATTATTTTGTTCTGTTGACATCTCCATTAGCTTTTAGCCTGGATTATATTTCCATTTCATAGCCAGAAGTTTGTCAGTGCGCGTCTATTCTTTTGATTTCATGTGATTTTTTTTTTCTTGGGAGCTTCAGAGGATTCAGGTTTCGATGTTCGGACTTCCACTTTGTCTCTACCCATAACCAACCACTCATGCTCACTCTCATCGTCTCCACTTTCACCTTTGTGCTAGGCGAAGGCGTCTTGTAAGAGGGAGTCTCAAAAGAGATCCAACCGTGTGTTTTTATTACTGGTCCTAGTCGGGGCCTGAGTCATTAAAGACACGACGGAAATAGAAGGGTATTTTGTTTTTTTTGGGCGGAACTCCAGATATTGTCTTCTCTGAGCAGGAGGTGATGAACTCAACAGTCTTGTCCTATTTTCAGAAAGTTTGTTTTCGGCAACTCCTGCCTGCCTACGCCCAAACAGTTGGCAATGAAAGTGATGGATTGTCGAATTAACATAAGATTCTCACGCATATGATCCAAACGAAAACCTGTTATATTGGTATACTGTATTAATTATACGGCCAGGTGTTCCCCAAAACTTTTATAGGGACTTCATATAAAGCAATATGTGACGTCACTTTTGCTATTCGGTTTAAAAATATTCATTTGTTAATAGATCATTAGCAGTGAGGGGTTCACAGTCTTTACTTGTGGGTAGCAGTATCTCCCATATGAAGAAATCGTCATCTTTTATTATTTGTTCAGGAACAACCTCTAAGGATGAAGCAAAAAATCTTTTTGTTTAATAATGGGATGCAGGTTGTTCAAACAAGATTCTTGGCTAGGCAATATCAAAATATACTTGTCTGTTATTTAAAAACAGAGTCAACGAGACACTCCCCAGGATAGATAACATCGTGACCAAACTCTGAAGTCTGCCATCTGAATTGTCCCAATTCTTTGACTGTAATTTTTATTGGGTTGGTTGATTTTATGGCATATCAGTCATTGTTTGGTTACTGAATGTCAAATTTTGTATAGAGTCACTCATTAGTTATACTAGAGTAAACAAGTATTACAACACAACGAGGCATCTATTGTTTACTTTAAGAAATAGCTTCTTACTAAATGTTCTACATCAAGGATTGATGAAAAGAAAAAAAACCGTTGTTCTGTTGATTCTGTAAACCCTTTCTGGTCCTGTTGTTTTTTCTTCTCATGGTTTTTCACGGTTGCAAATTGTATCTTGAATTTGGTGTTTTATTCATCGTGATGGAATCTGTTTCTCATCAGCTGAAATGATGAGGCAAGACAACAACGAAGAAAAAATGGTCAAAATGAATCATTGTATAATAGAGAGTCTTTTGAGTGTATTTTATGGACTTATATTCCTCATATAAAAATCTAAGAATAAACCTTTGCTCCTTAAAACATCGTTAAAAATCCTTCATGTTTGATAGTGTGATGCATGTCATTGAAATAAAACTTAGCAAGGCTATCTCCAGTCTCTTTTGCGTTCAAAACTGCAGAAAATATTCCACTGAAAAGTCCCTTTGTGTGTTTTTATATATGAGATCTATTTCGAAAGATTTATATATTTTGAAGATTTTTCAAAAGATTTTCGAGAACAGGTTCCGTGGCCTGAACATCATTTGAAAATAATTCAGATGGAACGTGATTACGTATGCAAGAAAGGAAAACACTTTGGTGGTATTATTCAGTTGGCACTGAGAGGAATATGAGTGACCTTGTATTTCTAGGCCGTCGCATTTACAGAGAATATGCATCAAATGTGTGTGGGGTGCAAGTAAAGGAAATCAACGATTAGCAGTGCGATAATTAGACAAGGGCTTCAGCGGAATATCCGGAAAGTATGTAGTGATTTTCAGTAATGCGACTGCATTTTTCTTTTGTTAAAAGGTTCGATTATATTTATAGAATGAAATATCTCCAACTGTCTCATTATTCCTATCAGAATGATTAAAGTCATTTGAAAATGGAACGCACCAGGCCCGATTACCGATCTGCTTCGATAGGACTTCCCGTAAAGGAATGGGCATTTGTCGAGGAATAATGCAAAAGTCATTTGCAACCTGAAATTTTTTTTAGAAGAGCCTGTAGAGAGATGGTCTCATAAGTGACTAAGGATTAGTTTTCCTAGAAAATGCCTTTTGGTGAAGACCAGACATGCCAACAAACTGTCATTTTCCCATCAGTTTTCTTCATTCCAGTAGGAAAATATGGTCTGACGAGACTAAAATCGAACTCTTTGATGAAATTAATTCGGAATACGTCTAGAGTATACGCTTCACATGACCACCAAAATACCATCCCGACTATTAAAAATGGCGGAGGAAATATAATGTGCATTCGCGTCGTTTTCCCCCCAGTGCTACAGATACAAGACATATCGAAAACAGCGTTGCATGGTCCTACATCTAGAAATGCATTTGAAAAAATACTTCCATATTCTGGATTTTTCGGCAAGGTAATTATCCCAAAAACACTGCAGTGAAAACGAAAAATGATTGATTGATTAATTCGTTTTATACGGCTTATCAACCCTTTGTAGGTTATTTAAAGCCAGAAAATATTTTTTAGATTGTAGGAATTTTTGTGGAGATAATAAGAATTTAGTGGTGCAAATCCTTCTAATTAACCCATAGCTGGGAGGGTAAATGGTGAATTCATACCTTTCACAAGAGTATTTGCGCGTAAGTTAATATAACGGGATTTGAAACATGACTCTCCAATTATCAATTCCGAGACATTATCTATTACACCATCAGCACATCCAAGATTACAGCACCTGGTGTCCCCAAGCGGTTACCTATTTAGGTACTGACTAGGCTCAACGTTGCTTAACTTCGGTGGTTGTACGGGAATCAGTGTTTCAACGTGATGTGCCCGTAAGCACGAAATAATGGTTTCAGGTGAAGAAAATGAGATTTCTAAAGTGACCAAAATGTCTGATCTGAGCCTATAAAAAAAAAAATTAAAGCTTACAATTTTCAGTTCACTTGAAGAGTTTTGTAAATCCGTGTTATTTTAAGGCGATTTCTCAATAGAGGTGGCGTAAAATTGCTGTTAATTTTTGCAAGAAACTGATCTCAAATTATTCCAAACGTCTGACAGCCATCCTATAAAATAATGGATACACTGAATGCTGTTTATCGATATTTTTTTTAATCATTCCACTCCACGCAAAGAGGGAGTGCCTCTAGTACGCAGGAGATTACAGAGAGTGAAAGTGAGAGAAAAGAATGGGCATAGGGGGAATTTAAGAAAGGATATAAGATGAACGAGATTCAAGAAGATGGCGACTGACGTTGCATTTAATTTTTTGAAGATTGTAGTTATCAGAGAAATAAGTAAGAGGAAGGGAGTTTCACTGTTGGGAAGTGTGAGAAAAGAAACTGTTGGAGTAGAAGTGGCGGTTTCATTTAGCCATTTCAGCAGTAAAAGGGTGGGACCTAGATGCCAATCTAGTAGCACGCTTAAATTCATGTAGTCAGAGCACCAGGAAAAAACCTCATCAAAGCAGTTGCCATGAAATTATTTGTAGAAAAGATAGAGGGAAGTCCAAACACATCTGTGAGAAAGTGACTGAAGTCGAGATGGCAAGTTAGAATCGATTACATTGCAGATCCTTATTTGGATTTTGTCGACTTTCTTTGTAGCAATTGTTCAACATAGTTGTTCCATTTCAAGTCGGTCAAAAATGTGAGGCCAAGATCGCCCATTTAGACGCTTTCCTACTGATGGCGGACAGAGAAGATTCTCTATGGTGGTTAAATGAGAACTGTTTAGTTTTGAAGGCATTAAACGTTGCAAGAACAACGGCCAGGTTAAGGATTTGCTTTTGAGGATAGCAAGAAGATAAATGATTTTAAGTGGTGATATGACATTTCTTTATTTAAAAGTATAAATATTCTATCGTATGTATTTATTATATTCAACTCAATCTTTTGATTAATGGAAATAAAAGGAATTATGATTTTCTTAAAACGTCCTATTTTCAATATCACGTACGCACAAACAAACACACGTACACACACAAAGACACACACGTACACATACAAAGACACACACGCACACACACACAAAGAAAAAGCGACAGGCGTGAATTTCAAGATGGATTTAGTCACGTTTTGATAGATAGTTGCCTAGACGCGTGTTTATCATGAATAGGAATCTATTTAAAGAGAAATAAGATTTATTTAAATATAGATATACGCATGTTTATGGAGAGATCCATGTAGATATCGATGGACCGTGCTTCTGGACATGTATCGACGTGTGGGCTTCATGGATGGAGGATGAAGATAACTGCAACAAATCCGCTTCTTTATCCATGACACAGTTTCAATTCTCATCTTTTATAAGTGTTGTCATCCTTTGCACCAAAGAAGCTTTTTTTCTGTGTCGCCCCCACCTCCTAACTTTAATATTACCGCCACCATCTCCGCCTCGTCTAGTGCAACTACTATAAAATATACACAATATCGAACGGTGGCTGTTTCTTCGCAGTTGGTTGTATTGCAGTCAATATATCATGTTATCCTTGTGTTTTATCCTCCTTCTCTACATACAATGCCTTCTCCAGATGTTGGACATCGGAATGTCGACCTGCAGATGCCTGCTTCCAGATGTTAGTGGCACCAAAGGCTCTGACAACAAAAGATGTTTCTGTGGTCTTACGTCCTTCAAAGTTATCATATCAATGATCTTGGCAAACTTGCATTATTGAAGATGGCGACGAAGAGGAAAAGGTGGATGTGTAAGCTGGAAAAAGGATTAGATTGGCTCATCCAGTAAAAACGATACTTTTTTAAAAATTATGTTTTATTAGGAAAATGAAAATATTGCAAGAATAGATTTTGGATTGGTATTTTAGCGTTACGTTTTATCTATATTGTTATCTTATGTCATTTTATTATGCAAGTGAATATTTTCACAATAAATTTAGTATTAACAAAGCAATGATAGAATAAAGATAACAATGAATCTCAGCCAATAATATTTTTATTAGAAATATTTACAGTAACTTATTTGCGAGATTTTATTAGGTAAATCACGGCCTGGATCTTAGTATATATATATATATATATATATATATATATATATATGTGTGTGTGTGTGTGTGTGTGTGTGTTTGTGTGTGTATGTGTGTGTGTACATTTATGGGTGTGTGTATGTGTTTGTGTACAAGCAAGTTTGATTAAAAAACCTATATGGTCAGCCTATTTAGTGTTTTATTGTATTTGTATATTTTATTATATTTAAAAATGTATAATATTTATTGTATTTTTTCCATCATTTCGCCCTAAGCAAGGCGATAATGTCACTAAGTCTTAAGGTGTTACTGAGGGTTAAATAAAATGAGAAATCTTTAGGAAGAAGAACAGGAAATCCAGTCTTCAACAATGAATAAATTCCTACTTCTGTTCAAAAGACGAGAAAGAGTGTGAACCGGACGATAGATTTTATTGTATTAAAAAATACAAGAAAATTAAACAGACAGACCTTGTCTTTTCTTTTTATTCAAAATTGTAGTATGAATGCATGTTCGGAAAACGATCGTTCTAATCACTTGTCACGTGCCTCCCCATATATATATATATATATATATATATATATATATATATATATATATATATATATATATATATATTTTATGGACCGAGTGTTTAATACGGAGTTCTGAATGTCGACCCGGGTACAAATATCACCATGATCCCGGCATGCTTCGCCTTTGGAAAGTGCCTGAAAACTATACCACAGGTTGGTCCTTGTAGTTAGACGGAATTATTTGGGAGTCGTAAGCGAGGGTTTGAGCGTACTAGCCTCATTCTGATTATAGATCACGCCTGATAATCGGTGCTCTGCCCAAAATTTGCAAGTAAGGTCCGCTCAGCATGGATGTAGGTATAAAATACCGGTAGGGTTTGTGGGTGTTCGATAAACATAAATGCGCCTGAGCAAGCGTCTGAAACGAGGATTTGTTAGCCGCACTAATAGACAGATATACATGTATACGAACAGCCATTATATATATATATATATATATATATATATATATAATAAATATATATAAGTCAAAGCACACTCAGAGGTAACATGATGTTTCATGCTAGACGCAATTGTCAGGCCTATATATATATATATATATATATATATATATTTTTCATATACGAACGAAAGAAAAATTGAATAAAAAAACTTAACCCCAGTACCTTTTCTGTTATCTTTAATAAAAGAGGGATTGGTAGCCAAATCCACAAATATATATATATATATATATATATATATATATATATATATATATATATATATATATATGTATATATATATATATATATATATCTATCTATATCTATCTATCTATCTATATATATATATATATATATATATATATATATATATATAATGGCTGGCCTCTCATATATATATACGCACGCATACACACACACATATAGATAGATAGATTGCCATGTGCCATAAGAAAGATATAACTTCAAAAGAGAAACAAATTAAATGATGAGAAGACAACGTTAGAAAAGTCGAAAAAGGTGTAACATCATCACAAAACAATCCAAAAATAATTAGCTACATTGGCCAGAGTAGAATAAGAAGATATTTTGAAGAATTCTAACAAAAGAGATTTACTAAATATTTCAAGTGTAACAAAAAATAATTGAAGATTATATTTCGAATGCCAAATATTAAGAACACTGGTTAAAAATATACGCTTACTCAAACTAGCATCTTTTAGTAAATTTCACAAAGAGGATTATGAACATTGAAGAAGTACGTGGAAATTGATTACTCTAGTCAAAAACTCTTAGTCATGATTATAGAGCTACATTGGATGAACCTGATGGCTGGCTTAGAAGATGGACCCTTTATTGAAATAGTCAACCAAAATGTTTTTGAAGAAAGGTGAAGAGGAGAAGGAGGAGTTAAAGTTTAAGTTAGCATTGTTGGCTTCAAAGTTGATGATGGCATCAAAATAAACACAGAGAATTATTGGTAAACTAGATATTTTTTACGAATACAAGTTGCAACCAAGAAGTTTTAAACGTATACATATAAAACAATACGTCGTCACAATCTGTAAAGCTGATCATTACATACCTGCTCCAAAAGGTTTGAAAGTTTTTCCAGATATTAGTCTGATATAAAACTTGAAACTTGTGTTCTATCATTAAAAGTCGTGTATATGTGAATGGAAAACAATATTCAAAAGAACGCTCTGGGAAGCAATAACAGTTTTTGCTGGTTATGTGATGATCGAAACAAAACAAAAGTTGAAAACAAAACATTGGTTGAAAAAATGAGGAAAATTATAGAATGTCAAAAATCAAATATATGTTTCTCTTATCTGTATCATTTGAATTTATTTATAAATAAAAAATTTATTTTGCAAATTTTACAAAAAATTACCCCAACACGCACAAAACAAGTTATTATTAATATCTTTGTAATAAAGATATATATAACATTCTTCAAGTAACTATTTTTGTAAATCAACATCGAAATAGAGTATGCGGTTAAATATTTAAAAATTGACGTCAATATTAATTGTAACTATGATTAATGTGCAAAGCTATACATACATACATACATATATATATATATATATATAAGTCACTCAGTGAGAATCAAACTCACTACGAATGTAATTTTCAAGACTAGCTTCTTAATCACGAAGACGTCGTTGCAATATCTTCGGCTTTTCAAACAGAATTATAAATATTTATTTATACTATTGAAGCTGAGATAGGGATGGCTTAGTTAGTATTGTTGTTGGTTCCCTTGTCTGCAGTGGACAAGGAAAATACGATAGAGGTGGGGAGGAGAATAAATAAATAATAAAGACGCTATAGTCTATGAGTGTAGAAAAAGAGA